ATAAGCTACATTTTGACTTATTTAGTAATCCCAATGTGCTCCCAGATTTTCAATGATTCCCCAACTGATGTCAGTCCATGGTGAATACTACTTCTAAATCCCAATGTGTCTTGTAGGGAAGTTGAATAGTTTGTTCACAAAGAAAAAACATCATGTGTATTATTGTGAAGTCATTTTCTGGCTATTATTTTGTCGTTATTTCACCACACATTGCAGTCATCAAGGTTAGGTTGAAGACTTTCACCCTTAGATGATGAAGACGACGACGATGATGATATCAGAAATTAAATTAAACAAAAAAATTACTGTTAATGCTTTTCTGGCTTTCTTTATGTCTTTTTATGAATTATCATTTTCGAATTTGGAGCCAAGTGTGCTCCGTTTCGTCTATTCAAGCTGCTGTAATTTGCCGATTTATGTAGAGCCTCGGTATTCAGTCTTTTTTTTCAATGACACAAAACCTTTTGTAGAACCTTTGTCCCATTGAAACCAACCTCGTGTCCCATTTCTACCAAACGTAGTGGAATCGCTGGTCTGTTCTGCAATCTCTTAATGTCCACTGAGGTTTTGGGGATTTTGGTTCATACTTTGTCTGTGTTTCTTAACCCTTATATTCACCTACCTGGGTGTTTCTCTGACATATACTGCATAACAATCAGAGTAATTCATTTCAAAGACACTGTCTACTTTCCATACGTATTACTTCTCTAGCCTTCATCAAGGCAGAACGTAGATTATTCGTTATACGGAAATAAACCTATATGTCATGTTTGTTGAGAATTCTTCTGATTTCTTCCGATGCCTGTCTAAGATACGGAATCCTTACAAGGCTGATCCACTCCTTTGGAGGATAGTTCGAACTGTTCTTCACTTTATTCTTCAAGGTTCTTTTGACAAATCTATCCGGATAGTTATTTGCTATAACTGTAGTTAAGTTACCATGACAGAGCTTTAAGATTTTGGAGAAATATTTTGCTAAGTTGTAAGCTGGTGAGTTGGTAAAATCGACAACTGGTCGTAATGGGATATCTGACCTCATTATTTTTGGTATCCCATAAAATCTACAGGGATTACAACTTTTCACTGATACAAAGGATCGAATTGAAGCCCTTGGTTTCTTCTTCATACATCGTAACGTTTTGCTGATATAAGTTTCTTCGATGTGACACATGTTTTTATGATGTTTATCCTCTGGTTTCCCAAGTAGGTCTGATCACAATGCACACTTAAATTCACAGAAATAGACATGAGCTTTAAATTACTAGACCTAATTACACGTCGATCTGAGTTACTTCACTGCAAATCAAAGCTTCCATAGGCAGGTAGTGTGGAAGGCAACGAAAGGATGACAATTATATCAAAATTTGTAGAAACTGGAGTAAAAATGAATGAAAGAAACTAAAAACGAGAGATAAGAGGAGTAAAAATTCTTGGTCATAGGATCCTCAAAAACTAAGTGAATAGAAAGAGTGGACCTTTCTATTCAATTGTCTTCTGTTATGAATCATATCAAGTAAATTCTATAAAAATCGTTCTGTATTATCTCGCAAAGTGAATGTAAGAAGGATACAGTTCTGCACATGGTTCAGATTGACAATCAGAAACTTCATAGACCGATGGAATATCAGATTTTCTGCAGACTAATCATACTTTAACCAATGCAACACATCAACGAAGACCTTTCGTTGACAAGTTACCTCGAACAAACTAAGTTTTATTACTGATAACAGGCTGGACACATTTTGATAATTCCATTCGAACGTTTGTCAGTAGGCCCATAATTGTAGATAATTTTGAGATGTTAGATAGTGCATTGATTCTTTTCGGTTCCTACCGCATCGTGCAACTTAACAGCCATATAACTGCCGCTTGAAATGTGGTCGGGAAACGTGTTTCCTAAAGTTTTACCTACACCTATATGACCATCGAAACTGGCTGTCAAATCCCAAGATACTTGAAGAGCCAGTCATCTGCACACAGCACACCAGCGTCATGTGATTAGGTAACTGATTGCAATTAGGCCCAGTATTTATCTCAGAAATATATATTCATATTTCTACGATACAGAATTCTAGAGATCTTGCCTAGAGAAGACTGATTTTCAGGCGGATGCAGTATACGGACGAGAAGTCTTTGAAATTCAGTTTTTAGTGTAGTTGTATGACAGCAGATATTCTATTCAGTGAGCTCAAACCATTAGCAGAGAACAACTGAGGATATTGTGCAACTAGTAACATAAGGGGATGAAGAAAGTTTAGAAGGCAATTAGATAGAGGATCAATTTGGATCAAAGAGGACTTGAGTGCTACTGAAAGTGTTTTGGTGATCAGTATCTTCATATTTTGAAGGTATTCTTCTTTTTGTCACAGCTAAAGGAAAAACAGCTTAGGTTTCTGTGATTGCAGTTTATGAGAGAAACCCTCCGTGGTTAGTTAGTCGTTTCGTAAGATCTGATTGTTTTAAAACTATTTCACCTTCTTCAATAAGCTAATCTACCATAAAGGTAGAAGCCTCTAGGGGAAGAATGAATGCATTTTTCGGAAGTTAGTCTTTTTGAATCTTTCCTTCAAAAGGGACAGAAATGCTGGTCATCATAAGGAAGATCCACTAGAACTGTCGTAGTTTTATAATAACAAGTAATAAGAGTTATCCACGAGGCTCTTATCATAACGCGAACCACTTATGCAACGATATCAAATACTTTTAATCTGACGAATATCCAATCGACGTCTTTAAAGTGTTACGATCATAACAGACAATTATTTCTTTCCAGTTCACTGTGATTATTTATCAATATAGACAAGTTCAACAGATACAGCAAGGAAATAATTGTTATCCTGGAATTAAATACATATCAAATATTATCTAAAAAGACCTATACTATTACCCATTTCTGTTCGTTTGAGTCATGCAGGGTGATGCAGACTAACATGTTGAGGTTCGAAGGACAAGAGAAACCAATGGTTGGAGGCTCTAGGTGATTTGGCTGAGAATGATATCAGTGGTGCAGATGCATACACACATTATCCTTATATTAACCGTTATACTTAATCTCATCATTTCTCATTCTTTCCTCTCCTCTCTTACTACTCTTTTTGACCGATTTTTCTCTCCTTCTTTATCTTTATTTTATTGCCTTGTTACTTGATGTGGTGATACGAGGCGTGGCAACTTGAACTGCTACACAGTAATGCCTAGTCCTATGTTGATCTTGATTATGATGATGATGACACATTTAGGCAGTGTATCTCTAAGCTTAGTCACACATACATGGGATCGGAAGCAACTAATATACCTGTCTGATGTTTCAGAGTATGGATTATCAACCCTAACCCTAACAGTAATATTAGCTACAGCTACAGTATAATTTTTTCTGAGGTAACTATTTAGGAATTTTAGTTGAAACTCGAGTAGTGCATGTTAAAATTACGGGAAGAAAAACACTGCTTAAATTTAACCAGTAAAATTTTGCACGAGAACTGTGGACTTAACAAACCCCCTTTATACCTTTGCGTTTAGGGACTTACGACGTAGATGTCAATTAGTAGAGGGAAATAAGCTCTTATGAGATTTGTAAGTACGCCTGGTTAATGAAGTTTCGAAATTTTTCTGTTTCCTCTCAGTAACCTATAACTAATTGCTTGTTTAAATTTCAACTTAATGGATTATGGACATTAAGAATTTACAACAACAAAAATATTAGAGATTTGTAGAGATTTTGGTAAAGCTGAAAGCAATGTCTAGAAAAAAATGGGGATATAACATAAAAATGGACTGAGAGAAGTAACTGTTAATTTTTGAGGCAATTTTCTCAGATAGCAGTTTAAAATAACCATCACTATTGTATAACATCTGAAAATGCCTGAATTCAATAAACTGTACAATCTTCGTAATCCTATGAAATAAAACATGATGCTATAACAAACTACAAAGTGTTGCATCTTCATTTTATTGCTTGGTACAATGGAATGAATCGACTGCACCTTTATTCAGTTGGTCAAATGACGTCCAGTGTGATAGTCAGTGTAGATATTTTTCTATTCTGCAACAGAATTTTACTTGCTAATAATGGATATTGGTTAACAGGAAGATAGGTTCAGGATGTGCATTTCATCCTAGTTGTCGCTCATCAGCTGACTGTACCTGCCCCCAAGTGAGTGATCCTGTCCCCACTGAGACTGTAACCCATATGCCAGTTGTGGTCGATCGATTAGGTTCACTGAACAATGAAGTCTTACCAGCAAAATTCCACTTACTTGCTATGGTAACCGGGCTAATTATTCTTAAATGGAAGGACGAGGCTTAACTCGAAACCAGCATTTTAAGTTACCAGACAATAAGGTAGAAGTTTCGATTTCAATCTTGTTTATGTTAATGTGCGGGCAGGAGAAACCTTATTGGATACCATCCTTCAGCTGATCAATGAAAATAACTATCTAAATTCTCACTTAGTGATTTGGTTTCTAAGAAAAAACTGTATATAAATACTGTACTCTGTCGAATAAAGTGTCTTCCTTGCAGTCACAGACCGGTCTTTGTTTTCTGATTTTCATGGCTTAATGGAGTATCAAGTCTGATAGAGAACAGTTGCTATTCGTATCCCATCCAAGTATCTTATTGCATTAGTAGCTCTGTCGTATGCCGTGCTATTCTGTTAGTCGCTTCACGAAACATATCTGGAAGGAATTCAGTACCACTTATCCATGGCCACCACCTGAAAGGCTGGTGGTACAAAGAAGACAGTGATCGACCATAGATATCGTCTAGAGTCTTAGGATTGAAGCACGTCAGTCTTCTGGATATTCATCAGAACTATACATAAATATTGTTACGTTGATGAAATGTAATGAAACAACAAGAGCCAACTCTTTTGTTATAAAATTTCTCCCAAATTTACAATGATCAGTAGTAATTACGTAGTTATTTTTGGTTAATAACTGACAGATCATATTCTAAATTACATTTTCTTTTCCTACTGTTTGTTTGCTTTTTGACTATAGGAAGATGATATTTTTAATAAACTGTCGAAATTGATTAAAAAGGAATCGAAATTAAATCCGGCAATAAATGTAAGCTGAATTTATTTATTATCTAATCGTGATTATGAATGCGGCATATGAAGAGGTATGAAGTTAGTTTTCCTTATGAATTGACATCAATTATTATAGAGTTCAAAACAGTTAGTCTCTTTAGTGTAATTGCTTGTATTACACCATCGTTGACTGGAGCGAATTTATCGGTCTCTGTTGGCATATGGGCTCCTGTGTGAATGCCTCAATATTGCCTGTGTTCTTCACTATATAGTAATGATGGGTAGTGGCTAGCAGTGATCTCTTTTAGTCTCTTTTATGAATTTTGATAGCGTAATTAGAAGACAACGTTTATCTGAACAATGTGATGTATTTGCGCAATACATTTACTTGTCAAGTCAATATATATATATTAAACCAGAAAGTGGGAGGACAAATACAATGATCAACACAATAAGGGATTAAAATTAAGAAAGATGAGAACAAACAAGAAGTGACATAGTCGATCGTGATGTTGGTAAGAAAACAAAGTTTACCGACCAAGGTAGGTGTAGTGTAAGAACAAATTGTTTTTGTAAATATAAAGGTGGTTTCGATTTGTTCATGACCATGGCTTCCGCAAATCTGAGTATACGTCCCTGATTGTTTCTATATAAAACTTTGGAAGCTGTTTGAACATTAATTTTGTGACCTGTTTCTATGATATGTTTAGCTATATATGAAGAGGGTAGTCCCTTAGGACAACTACTAGTTGATATTTATATGTTATATATGGAAAATCTGGCCGGTAATTTCATCGCTAAAGTTTCTCTTTACAAGAGATATGTTGATGACATCATAGTGATTTGTGAGAGGCATGAGGATATGGCTTGTCTACTAAAAAGACAACACAATATAAACTCACATCAGCCTGTTTTGTGAGAAAGAGAACGATATTCATCTTCCATTCTTAAATATACTCCTGAGTTGACGACAAGATGGTTCAATAAGACGGTCAGTTTACAGAAAACCTACATGGACAGAACAATATCTGAATTTTCACAGCTTTCGTCCAATTCAATCCAAACGAGGTATGGTAAAATGCCTGTTTATCACAGAAATACATATATATATATCACGAGCGCATACAGGTGAGTTTAACAAAAATTCAAGACAGCCATTCGGAAAAAGTACTAGGGAGCGAAAGTCAACACCGCAGAGAAACAAAGCTTATGTGAAGAAGTATGGGCCTCTTTTGTATATACAATAACAATTTCTTGGCAATTCAACTTTAGTATTAGGGTGATCAGTATACTATCATTCTCTTCCTGCCTAACTAACAATTTGATCTTTTATTAATTTGAATATTTTTAAGTCCCTTAATCTTCCATTAAAACTTACATAAGTGATACAGTGTGTTATTAAACTGCTCAAAATATATTGTCTGAATGAGTCACCTATCGCTTCAAGTAACTGCATCTTTTGGTTATTTTGTCAAGTCCTTTCCTGCCTTAACAACATCATGACTAATTGTTTCTCATAAATTTAACCGTATAGTTATTTGTGATCAAAACTGTTTGCATAAAAGAATTAGTGAAAGAGATTATGTGAAAACTTGTATCATGCATATAATAACCAATCAACTTTGAGGGAACTATTTGACCTTCAAATCTGAACCAATCAGAATAAAAGCTTGTAATTTCTTTTTAATATCCATCCAGGTTAAGCAGCAGATAACAGAAATATGGTCAAAATGTGTCGACAACTATGGTACAAGTGATGAAGATGATGATACCAACGATGATACTGACTTTCTTGCCAATGAAAATTTTCACTTTTTTAATAATAAACACGGAAATAATAATAAAAGATCCAAAAATATAATTCAGTTGGAAAACAACAACTTCAAACCAGTAATTATCGCACCAACAAGAAGCGTAACACCGATAATGAAGAGAAAAACACCAATAACAATAATGCATTCAAAAAACAATATGTATTTCACCTTTACTAAATCAAAACCCTATTCATCATCAATATCTATATCTAATCAACTATTAAACAAAAAACACAATGTTGTAGAACAACTCAGACATGGATTGCCACTTGACAAAACGTTTAAATCATTCGAGTCACATTCATCCAGCATGAGAAAAACACCGAAGCATGTCAACAGAAGAATTCAAATCCCTCCATCATCACGTACAATTCACAAGAGTCATGAAAAAAATAATGATGTTTACATCATGTCTCCTTCATTTACAATGAAGAATAAAAATCCTTATAGTGTACAGTCTGCTGATGATGATGATTCTAATGTTCAATGTTCAGTGGAGGATATTTATTCAACGCATCAATGTTTATCACAGAGCCATATTTCAAACAAAGAGGAATTAACCAACTTAAAGTCTATAGTAAGATTAAGAATGAATAATTAATGGTTTAGGATAATAGGGAATGAAAAATGTTCATATCTAAAGATAACTTATAAATGTGTTGAGAAGTAGAAAAAAACAAACATTTCAAAAAGTTACACTTTTCAAACCAAAAAAAGTGATAAATTCAAAACAGTTGTCTGATATTTCCTTTTGATCGTACAGTTCAGCTTTGGTTATGCATTTAATCTTATTTTTCTTAATTTTATCCTACTCAGTATGTATCTTTATAAAAAGATATGGGAACCGTAAAACCATTTTAATTATATTTTGATAGGAGTAAAGATGTTATTGGATTAGTCACTAAAGTTGATTGGTTTGAATGTGTTTTAGGTATAAATGACTTGATCGGGAGTCGAATGCTTCTTTTCATTAGAGTTCATGAAGTCATAGTTTTCCTGCCAAGATACATTGGTGAGAATTATTAGCGTTCATTGGAGAAAGTTGCTGATCAACCGATTGACTAACGGAGAAAATGTAGAACCTGAATCAAAAAAAAATTAATTGATAGTTTTATTAGCATAGGGTTGCTCACCAAAGGAAAGCACATTCAAAGTGCATTACGATAAACTTCTACTTAGATACCACCTAACACGCAAGTGGTTTACAACTCGATATGCTCAAAACATCCTCAAATTATGAGTAAAAAGATATTAGTAACATCATCAACTAATTGATTTATCCCTTTTAATAGAAATAAGAAGACAAATAGACATAATAATACAACAAAAGTTGGCTGAAATGACTGAATGAATTTTCAGACTGAAATCAACAAAGGATGATCATACTTGCATGAATATAAGTGAACAGTACACTGCTGACAGCTGTTTCCGATATTTCCTTATACTTCATTTAGCCGTGAGAATATCGGCTGACCTATGATTCCAAGAAGAATTTTTATAGAGCAGAAAGATGTCATACATTTTATTTTTCTGTACCCAAAAATACTCTAGAAAAAGGCTAATTAGGTTGTTCTTATTGGTCTAATGAAACACCAGTCTACCTAGCAGGATAATAGTGACTATACAGCAGTTTAGGTCAAAAGTGAATCTCAACTACTTCTACCTCATTGTCCATTGGCTTCAAATGTCGGTTTCTGTCACAGCCATCTCGTATCGTTAGCAAATTCGTGTCACTTTAAAAGTCAATTTAGTACCTGCACCTACTATAGTCTGAATAAGAGTAAGCAGTTTTTAGACATCAAAGATTATTGGAGATTGTCCGATACTTGGAATTTCCCGTTGGCATACAGAGCTGAATTGCTTGACCTCTGCTGACATATGGGCTCCTATACGGATACCTCGATACTGCCGGATGACCATGATGTTATAATCATCTTGGTGATTAGTAGTAGAATCCAAGACGCACATTTCAGCCTGTTTAGGACTCGTCAGCTGGATTTGCCAGTACCCCAGTAAGTGTTGTTCTCATTGAGACTCGAACCGGATACCCATTGCTTGAAATGCTAAGGCGTTGTCTACTAAGCCACTGGGGCATGGACAGTCACCTTTTTCACAAAGTATCGAACGACAACTGATACCCGTTTCTCAAGTGATGGCTATCATGCCTCAGTAGCCTGGCAGATAACGCTATGGTGTTTGAAGCTGTGGGTACTGGGTTCGGGTCTTAGTGAGAACAACATCACTCACTGCAATGCAGGTGCATGCAGCTGATGAGTCCGAAATGGAATGGAACCCGCATCCTGGATTTCACTGCTAGTCACCAACATGAGTAAAACATTATTGAAGACTCATTGCTTTCATTTCTGCTAGGACAAAGTTGTAAATTGATATCTAGACTTCAGTTGGTGTACATTTCGTCCTATCTGGGACTCGTCAGCTGGGTGTACCTGCTTCCCGTTGGGTGATGTTGTTCCCGCCAGGATTTGGACTCGGGAGCTACCGCTTAAGACGCCACAGCGTTATCCTTTACACCACCGATAGATACCTCTTATGCGACGGGTATGATTTTTAGTATAAGGGTTTTTATATGATATTGTCGTTGATTGGACCTAATTGATCGGTCTCTATTAGCACATGGGCTCCTGTGCTAACGCCTCGATATTGCCAGCAATCTAGCTATTTTAATGATGGATCGTGGCTAGCGATCACTCCCGAGTCCAAATCCCGGTGGGAACAACATCACTCACCGGGAAGCAGGTACATCCGGCTGACGAGTCCCAAATAGGACGAAATGCGCATCCTGTATTCCACTGCTAGTCATGATCCATCATTAACATAATTAGATTACTGGCAATATCGAGGCATCCGCACAGGAGCCCATATGCTAATAGAGACCGATCAATTCGGTTCAATCAACGACGGTATCATATAAAAACCTTTATACTTAAGTTGGTGTAGTTATTAAGATGGTCGTTAAAGTCAACCCAATAAATATAAACATTATGGCTAAGAGGTTAGTGACCGAACACTTATGAGATTCACGTATTACGTATGTGCTTTGAACAGTCTTTTCCATAAGGATTACTGTTGTGACATACATATAGTTATTTTTCAAAAAATTCTATCAAAATGTTAATTTCATTCCCGGATTTTACTTTACTGCATTCGTTTATCAAAGAAAACTGATCTTCCTGAGTATGATGAAATAAAATACAAGACAGCATGAGTAGTTGGAAACCACTAATGTCGACTTAAAAGTTTTCTTAGTTAGATAAGAGAGATCTTAATATTGGTATAGAAGTTTTACTTGTTTGCACTTTACGTCATAAGCAAAGTGTCTGAATGAATTTAGCTCACAATGAGGTGAAATGTTCAGATCAATGAAATCTAGCTACCTAATGCCTGAGTTGTGTAGGAAGGTGTAGACTGTCTGATTGTAGTGCTCGAAATGTTAAGAACCAATGGTTGAGGACAGTTGGTGATATAACTGAAAGTGGATCACAGCAGCTTAGACGTATGCAGTGTTTATCATCTTTGAAGTCTTGAATATTTTCTTTGACCGTCATTTACTTTTTCTTTCCAATGTGATATTCTATTTTCAACTCTAATATCATTCTTTTTCTAGTTACTTCTTCTTTGGATGTTGGTGTGAAGCATGTTTATACGAATTAATGCACTTTTATGTCATATTCTACTTAGATCTATCTGTCTATCTCTGGCAAGTTGACTAGAATAGAATAGTGTACCATTAACTGGTTTCCAACTTCTTATTTTTTTCAGTAGTATACTTCACTAGTTCACTACATTATTGTGTCATCTACAGCAATCTTTTTTCTTGTTTGGATGTTTTCAACACCACCACTGGTTAGCTGGAAGACTACTCAGCCATAAGAGATGTCTATGTTAACCTTGAAAATTGAAAGCGATCTGCAAATCTGACTGAAATATTGAGTTCTTTAACAGAATTTAGAGTAGGCCAGCAGTATACATGCAAAATCTTTAACTCAACCGAAAATATGAAAAGTAAGAAGAAGAATTATAAGGTTAGCATGACTAATTGTATTTTTGATAACTTGGCTGGTATCTGAGACAGTAATGTATTTTTTGATGACAGTCTAAGCTCATCATTTACTGGAAGTGTGGCTCGACGGTTTAGGGAGATTACAACCAACCACTGGGTCACGGGTTTGAACCCCACTCCACCTAACGAGGTTTGGGCAACCAAGAAGTATCAAAAGCTGTCACACAATACATACGGTTCGTTTCCTACTGCACAGATAAGCACAAAGTGGCTGAATACATTTCGTCGTTCATCACTTACGGCAATGCCAAGGAGAAAACACTCCACTTGTAAATTTACTGGCTTGAATTTTTTTCTTATGCAATGTGCATACTGATAAACTAGTAGAGATGGAAATCAACTTGTTCGTCTTACCTAGATCTTTACAAATTAATTTAGTTTTCGCAGAAACTTTCATACTATTGGTAAACAAGAAGTGCCAACTGCCCACATATTTCCAGGGCCACAAAAAAACCAGACAATTATAAGCCACCTTGCTTATTTTTGTCTCCTTCTTTGCCTTCACTTTCTGATACTAACGCTTTGCCCCTTACAGTTTCCTCGGCTTAGGATCCGTAGATATATGATGCCTTACATGGGTCCGAGAACAACAAAGTCAAGAGAACTAGGCAGGATTCAGAGCTGAACGAGTATGCAGTGATCATATTTTCACCTTTTGTCAGGTCATAGAACATAAGCATACTTACCCGTTGCCAACACTTTCCAGATTTCTTAACCTAAAGCCACCATTCGACTCCATCAAACATGGGTGTAGTGGCAGTATCTGATCGTGAAAAGAGTGATAATCGAATCTCCTCACTTGAATTCATACAACCGTGTGAGAGAATATGAAGAGTTGTCATGTGAGATGACGACAGGTAGTGATGTCCACCATGGATGACCACTGTCATCATTTCTGATCAACTTTGTTGCAGATGTATTCACAGATTTAATCTTAGGTACCACAGAATTCTCGGGGATTTACTTACCGAGTGGAGGGATTACCTGGCTAAGATGATAGTTCATCACTGGTTTCTGTTAACTCCCTACCTGAGGATATGAAGTGCATTGCTTCAATATGTTTATGGATGCACTTAACCGGTGAGTTCCAGCAGCCTAAATGGTTTGCTTATCAACTAAATCTCTGCTCAGATAGTTCCCGTTAAGCGTTCACTAACTTAGACTATATCTGGCACCGGCCAGATATCCGAATACCTACTAAAAAAGCTAGTGCACATCATTTCGTTTTGGTTTATTGCATAACTGTGGTGGTCGTAAGTCAGAGCTTTTCGACCATTGGTGCCTTCATACCACTGCTCTCAATTAGTGGAACTACTGTGTGATACTGTGTTAAGACGAAGGTTGCTAGGCAAAGTAAGATGTTGTAGTAGATGAAATTGTGAGCATTCACAGACTGAGACGGCTTGGACATGCGTTGTGCATGCCGATCCGCCACCTACCTCAATGTGCAATGTTATCCAAAGTAGGATTGGGCTAGAATACGGCTAAAAGCGACCGAGCAAAGTCGTGGGAACACTCTGACTGCTGGTCTGCGCCTTTCAAAGAAGTGTAAACTGCTCGAGTGAAGTTCTCTGGATAGTAAAATCCAATGATTATGGACTCTTGATGGCATAAGTCAAAATCAGTAATAATGGAACACATATATTCACTCTGTGACATTCTCACAAATCTGAACATCTTCACTAGCCTTCACTTATTTCTTCATTTCCACCTTGTGCACTTTTTTGTACCTTTATATCATTCTTTTTCTGTTTACTTTTTCTCTGCTCGTTGCACTGAAGTGTAGCAAATCCTACCAATGTCTTTCTGTGAGAGGAAGATTATACATTGGTTGTTTTTTTATCTATCTATGTGTGTTTCGAAAGTGTGCTGATAATGTCAGCGTAAAAGCTGGGCACTATCGAAGAGTATCAATCCATATTAGATCATTTTGATGAGAATATGAACAATAAATGATGCTCGCAACGTCATCCAGTAAATAATACTGTACCACTGTATGCTACATTAAATAAAGAATATAGTATGGAATTAGGCACGTATGGTGTTATGTTTTCAGATTAAGATGCTTGAGGAGAAAACTATATTTTTCTAGATGCATAAATTAATGTTTTATGAATATTTATTTTTTTAATTTGCACATACCAAGTTGAAAGTAACTTTTCAAGAAACATCTATATTCAAACGAAGCGTATCTATGAACAGCAAATCTTCTGAGTTCACCAAAGTCTATAGATACCTTGGTAGTTGATCGTTTATGGTCTGCTAGTTGGTGATAAAATTCTAGCGTGAAAGTACAAGATATTGGAAAGACTCATATATTAATGATGGATGGTGGCTAGCAGTAGAATCCGGTTTAGACGCGCGTTTCGTCCCATCTGGGACTAGTCAGCTGGATGTACCTGCCTCCCAGTGAACGATATTATTCTCACTAGAACTCGAACCCAGAGCCGATCACTTCAAACGCCAGATCCTTATCCACTAGACTACCGAGTCACGGAAGTCACTTCTTGTGCATTCATGCAGGAGCCCATATACCAATAGAGATCGATAATAGAAGCAACAACATTACTGTAAAGATTCATTTCACATTTCATCAAAGTTTCTCCGTCCTCACTAGAGAAAGTCTGAATATAATTATCAAGTGATTATTGTCACTAACAAGTGGAATCATTTTATGATTGCCGTAATTTTACGAAATCCATATATGTACCTGAAATGCTTCTATATGTTGACTGGTACTAGCAAACTCTAAGCCTCAATAATATGTGACATGCATTCTGCAAGAAGTGGTGATAGTGACTTATTAGTTTACTGGTGTTTAAAGCGACCAAAGTTGTTTCTGAGTGTTATTTTGAATTCTAGAAACTGAAGTTCAAGTAAATTCACGTATAAAGTCTAAAACAGAATGAAGCATTCATTCAAGACTTCACCCTCTGCTGCTGGGAAACGTAACAACTGTTTATAATCGGATTCGAAATACACATCATGCATCAGTTTGTGGAGTTGTGAATAAAAAACAAACTTGGAAGGCCAACAGATATGATTTATTTTCCAGTGAATATCACCAACTAGACATACCCGCACCTCAATGAGTGATGTTGTTCCCAATGAGACTCAAACTCAGTGCTGATTGCTTCAAACGCCAGAGCGTCATTCACTGGGCCATTGAGGAACGATAACCATCTATTGTACAACGGTCATTACTCATAACTTGTTTTCAGTTTTTTAAACACACTGGGATTATATTAAAGCTTACCTATATAAAGTCAGTGAAGTTTGGCAACCTCATCCGAACTGATTAATATAAGAAGACTCATTTCAGCTGACTTTGACCGTAGTGAGTAGTAAAAGGAGCTTGAAAGTAAAATCAGTAAAAGTCTTCATAATAACTGTCAGCAGCAGTGGGGTGGGAAAAGGGTGAAAGAGATTAAAAAGGCGTTCACATCAGATAGTACTCGGCCAACTGTCACTCCGTAAGTATCACTATACAGATTTTTACTGTTTAGTTTCATTTCAACCTAAGTGAGACTAGGTACAAAATCCTTCCTTTTAATAACTTATCCTGTGAAAGTTAAGACTACTGATCGTTTCGTTTAAATGGTAATTTTGAAATCATCTTTAATTAGGCAGGGTTGATCGTTTTTTCTAAGATAACAACACTTTTAGCTTACTAGGTTATACTGAATCAATCGTCTTTTGTTTTCTATATTACTTGATAACAATATCCTTCTTTCAGAAACTTATTAAGCGTTCAGAAACTGCCAATAATCGTTTGAAACTAGCCTTAAATGTTTTCTTTTGCTTAGAAAAACATTTGTTTAAAATATTTAACACATTTTAAGTTGTAAGTAAACTTACAGCGTAGTAATTTGTTTACTTGTGCGTTATATTAGTTATATGGAATTGGTATCCTAACAACCAATAAAACACAGTCTTGTTTTACTTTATGCTGTTCATTGTTCAATCATATTTATTAAAAGTTCTCACCTGATCATTTAACTTGCCATTAATCTGCATCCTGAAATCATTTAACATAAACATTGTTTTCTCTTGTAGGCAAGTATAAAACTAGGAGAACATGAAATGAGCGTTTTGTTAGATTTTGACAGTCAATGGAACAATTTACAATTGACAAATAATAATCATTCAAATGAAGGAATAAATTATCAGTTCTTACCAAAACAAAAATGTTTTCTACCAATAATTCATTGGAATTGTACATTGAATGACTTATTGCCATCATTTAAGTATACATTAAAACAATCCACAGAACAACAACTAATGCAATATTTAGAACAATTTGAATGTATAATACAAAACCAAATGAATTTAGCTAATTACTATCCATGTATTAATATTCTTGTTGATGAAATGTCAAAAATGACAATGTTTCAAAGTAAACTGGATCAACTGAATTCTAGATCATTGGATAAAGAAGATATACTGCATTACTTCAGTGTTCAATATGACAATGATAGAAGAAATATTGTAGATCAAGTTAATGAAATAATACATCCAATGATGCTGACTTGCTTGAAATCATTAAATTTGGCACAACTTCAAATCAAATTAGAAGGTAATCATTAGTTATATAAGTAATTTGTTTCGAGTCAGTGAGTGAGTCAGTAAGTAACAATCACTATTCAATTCCCTGAAGCATCGAAATCATCTCAAAAATAGATATTTGCGTCTTTCATTTCGATTGAAATAGAATGTAGCTGGAGAAACAAGTAATGTGTTGATATCTCCTAAGTTGTATAGACTATTACTGAAAAACATTCCGGTGAATATTTTGAAAATCACTTTCAGATTAGGCATTGAGCACCTAAATTTCATACAGGTGAAAGGTTTTCTACACATGACTATGACATTTAAATTGTTTATATTTCAAACAAACTATCAAGATTTATGAGATACAGATGATTTTAGTTAAGTTATATGAATTATACTTATTCGGAGGAGACCAGAGTTTACATGAATTTGCTGCTTAGTACTCAGTACTGACCTAAGTTCATCTATAAAGATCTCAGTATGGTTGACAGGCCTTTTTACTGATTTTGTCTGGATATCTAAAACCATAATTTTTGGTGATGGATACCAGTAGAGTCTAGAGCTCCTGTTTCACGCTGTTCGAGACTCGTCAGGTGGATGTACCTTCCCCCTAGTTAGCGAAATTGTTCCCACTGAGACTCAAACCCAGCCACTAGAGAAACCAAACGAAACGTACCTCTTGGATTCCACTTCTTACCGCTACCAAGCAAACTACAGCATAATCAATAACCAGGTAATATCGAGTCATCTGCATACCAGCATATATACCGACGGAAGTAGATCAATTCGATCCGGTATAACAACGAAAATTACAAGTATCAACATACAATCTAAAGCCGCAATTTGTTATCTCATCCTAATGTTTCAACTGACCACTCTTTTGCGTTGAAGGTATTCAGCATTTTGCCAAGTAAGGTTTATGCCACCTGACTGACTTTAGTGATCATTATTCTGTTCAAACAGTATACGAAATGACTAATTTGGGGCCTAATTTTAATCAATTACTTTATTGCGTGCTATTGTTTGTGTTGCACCTTCGTTGACTGGACCGAATTGATCAGTCTCTGTTGGCATGTGGGCTCCTGTATGGATGCCTCGATATTACTTGTGTTCTTCACTACATAGAAATGATGGGTAGTGGCTAGCTATGGAATCCAGGATGCGCAGGCAATATCGAGGTATCCGCACAGGAGCCCATATGCCAACAGAGGCTGATCAATTCGGTCCAATCAACGACGGTGTAATACAAGCAATAACACTAAAACTATACCCGTCACACTAGAAGTGGCTGTCGTGGCTACGTGGTGTAATGGGTAACTCTATGGTGTTCAAAACAATCGCTCCTGGATCCGAATCCCGGTGGGACGACGCTCACTGCAAGGCAGGTGCACCCAGCTGAGGAGTTCCAAATAGGACGAAACGCATGTCCTGGACTCCAATGCTAGCCACTACCCATCATTACTATACATAGTTTTCCTATTTATTATAATATTTTTAGTGTAGAGTGCCTGGTTAACTAGTTTACTAGTTACTAGCCGGTCCTAAGCCCGGGTAAAGAGGGAAGGTTGGGCATAGGGCTAGCAACCCTACCCCGTAAAACAAATCTAACCGATAAAGAAACTTCAAAGCACAAACAAAATATAAAAAATGAAAACAAACTTATTCCCGGCTGGAATCAGAGAGATAAAATGACGCCAGTTGGTGAAAGCCTTCAGGAAGCCAAATGGCCGATGTGTCTTCTCTCTCTCGATGAAAGCGAAAGTAAGACTGGGGACATGGAATGTCCGCACCATGTTTGAACCCAGTAAGGCAGCCCAGAATGCAAAGGAGATGAGAAGGTATCACATCGAAGTGCTTGGGATTTGCGAAAGCAGATGGAATAGGAGTGGACTCTCCAAACTGTCAACTGGAGAATCAATAATCTACTCCGGTCACGCAGACGCCAACCACGAGCACACTGAGTTATGGAGTGGAGTGGCTATCATGATGTCCTCAAGAGCATCGAAGGCTCTCTCTCATGCAGTGGGAACCAATCTCCTCCAGGATCATGACAGAAAGATTCAACTCAAAAGGAAGAAAGGTCACAATCATACAATGCTACGCTATACACCTACAAATAATGCAGATGAAGAGAAGAAGGAGGAATTCTACACTGGACAAGACGTCAGTTGGCGATATCAAAATTCTGATGGGCGACATGAATGCCAAACTGGGAGTGGACAACACGGGAAGAGAACTAACCATGGGTCGAGAGGCGCTGGGTGAAATGAATGAGAATGGAGAATTGTTTGCAGAATTCTGTGCATTCAACGATTTGGTAATTGGAGGCAGTGTGTTCAGGCACAAGGATATCCACAAAGCGACATGGATTTCACCAGACACCAGTACACACTAAAAATCAAATCGACTTTATCTCAATCTCAAGAAAATGGAGACGCAGTCTACTTAACACAAGGTCAAGAAGAGGAGCAGATGTACGTTCAGACCACTCACCATCTGGTGCAAGGAACCTTCAAAATCAAGTTAAAAGCCTTCAAGGAAGCTGGTGATAGACCTCAATTCAAGTACAACACTCGGAAACTGAAGGATGAAACTACAAAGGAGATCTTCAAGGCAGCCATCAAGACAAAATGGGAGATATCGAGGAACATCCCTGAAGAAACCTGTGTGGAAGAACACTGGAAGTCTTTGAAAGCTATGTGGAAAGAAACCTGCACAGCCGTATTAGGAAGGAAGAAGAAAGAAGACAAGGAATGGATCTCGACGGATACCTGGAAGCTGATAGAGGAGAGGAGGATGGTGAAGCAGAAGATGAACCAGTGCAAGGATGCTCAACGACAAGAGGAACTGAGCACAATCTATAAAACACTGGATAAAGAAGTAAAGAAGAGTGAACAGAAAGACAAAAGATACTTCTAGGAAACACTGGCAAGTGAAGCAGAACAGGCTGCAGGTAAGAGAGACCTGACGACATTGTATCAAATAACCAGGTTGCTATCAGGGGCGAGACTAACACAGATGAAACCAATAAAAGATGGAGAAGGAAATTTAATTACAAAAGAAGAGAAACAAAGGAAACAATGGGCCGACCACTTCAAGAAGCTCTTGAATCGACCACCACCTGCACTTCGTCCAGAAATACCACCTGCAGCCGCTGAATTACAAGTGAACATAAATCCCCCAACGAAAATGGAAGTCCTGAACGCCATAAAGCTACTGAAATGCGGGAAAGCAGCAGGACCAGACGGGACACCACCAGAAGCACTGAGAACAGACGCAGAGACAACAGCAGACATGCTCACACCACACTACTATTGCAGAAGGTGTGGAAGGAAAAGAAGGTACCTGCCTATTGATTGGAAGAAGGGTTACCTTGTCAAACTGCCGAAGAAAGGAGACCTCAGTGCTTGCAAGAACTCGCTTGAAATCACTCTCCTACCCACCCAATGCAAGTAAAATATTAAGCCGCATCATCCTGGAGAGGCTTAAAGATGCACTGGATTCAAAACTACGACCGGAACAGGCAGGCAGGCTTCAGGAAGTACAAATCATGTGCAGACCAAATTGCAACGCTTCGCATCATCATAGAACAGAGCATAGAATGGCAATCAGCTCTCTACCTCAACTTCATCGACTTTCAGAAGGCCTTTGACAGCGTCGACCGAGAAGTAATTTGGAAACTGCTTCACTACTACGGAGTACCGCAAACCTTTATCAGCCTCATTCAACAACTATATGAAGACGCCACATACCAGCCAAGTAATTCACAATGGGAAGCTGAGTGATGCTTTTTAAGTGAAGACAGGAGTGAAACAAGGTTGCCTACTATCCCCCATGATATTTCTGATTGTGGTGGACTGGATCATGCAGCAAACAGTGGGCAGCGAGAAGAGGGGGATACACTGGACGACGGAAAAGAACCTAGAAGACTTGGATTTCGCCGATGATGACTTGTGCCTGATGTCACATAAACTTGAAGATCTACAGGCAAAAACTAACAGGTTGATAGAAGAGGCAGCTAAGACGGGACTTCAAGTGAATATAGAGAAGACAGAGGTGATGAAGATACCGCACCAACAATAACAAACTCCAGCCACCATCAACGGGAGAAACTTAAAGGAAGTAACCTCCTTCACTTATCTAGGAAGCACTGTTTCAACTACAGGCGGGACGGACGAGGACGTCAAAGTCAGAATCGGAAAAGCAAGACAGGCGTTCATTAGCCTGAAACCAGTATGGAGATCTTCTGCATTCAGCATGCGGAACAAGATCCGGATTTTCAACACCAACGTCAAGTCAGTGCTTCTGTATGGTTCAGAGACTTGGCGCGTCACGAAAGGGATTTCCAATAAATTACAGACATTCATCAACAACTGCTTACGCTCGCTACTGAAGATCAGATGGCCAGAAAGAATAAGCAACAAGGAACTCTGGACTGCCGACGAACCAACCAAGAACCTATCACGCAACAAATATGCAGGAGGAAGTGGAGATGGATTGGGCAAACAGTGAGAAAGCCGACTGGGGACATCACGCGTCAGGCCCTCGAATGGAATCCCCATGGGAAGCGACGAGTTGGGCGTCCCAGTTGAAGGTGACATGGAGGAGGTCGTGCGAGGAGGAAATGAGGGCTTCTGGGCTGTCGTGGAACCAGGTTCAAAAGATCTCAGAGAACAGAGGTCACTGGAGACGTGCTACTGAAGCCCTATGTTCCACTAGGAACCCAAGGGACTAATAAAAAAATAATAATAGAGTACCATATTAAACTGGCATGACAACATGTGGATACCGGCACTGCTCTATTGCTATTATAGGGTGACAATTACAAATGGCTCAATCGCGATTAGTCTATTCACATAGACAGTTCAACTAATAAGTAGCATAAGGTAATTTTAAGTGTAATCCTTTTTCCTGCTAAGGAATAATTTTTAATTCAGTATAATGCATGTATCACAAGTAGACAGGTACCTGTTATTGGTACTATTTTCTCACCTTAAGTTTTTCTGAGGTGTGTCGATTATTTTT